TTATTCTCAATACCTACGCACAAAGCAGATATTTTCTCATTAGGTATTTTATTTTGCCTTAATTTTTCTTTATAGTCCTTTCATGGGTTTTTGATTGTGTCAGAATGACATACTTACATACATACTGCGGAAAGGTGTGATAATAAATTTAAATTTAAAGACGTATAAAAAGGAATAACACAAATGGCTACGTAAAAACGTGTTTCAGAGTAAACTGCTGTCAGCATCAATGTCCTACTCTTCAGCTAAAAAACGTTACCTCTTATCAACCGCAAACCGTTACTTGAACCCAACGGTTCCATCCCAATTGCATGAGCAGGATAAAATCTGATTTTAATTCCCTTCTTATTTTGACCTCCACCAATTAGGTTTTTGTCTGTTTAGACCACGGTTATCTTTTGAATGGTCAGTCTACATCCGTTTAGTTTGTAACCTTTCGAATTCTGCCACTGTAAAGTTTCATCAAATGGGTTAATCATTTTTCTTTGTAATACCAATCACCCGTTTTCACATTTTTTGAATATGTGTAATGCCTTCCGTATATATTCTTCTTCTTCTTCACGCCCTAGCGTGAGCGAAGAAGACCTTATGGGACCGTCCATGTCTGCATGTCTGTCGATCTTTCCGCAACAATGGGACCAAAGAATCAACATTTGGATTACACCGTTGCAACAATGACGTGAGATCACATAAATGCAATAATAACCGAAGATGCAACAGTTACCTCGGATCACACCAGTGCAACGAACGACCTACTTGACGTAGCGTAAAGAACGCCTTTGGAATGTCAGTGTACACCGATGAGTACAACTTGCCAATTTTTAAAATAAACCGATAAATAATCCTGTTCCCTTGTTCCCTCTTAAACATTTCAGCTGCATGAATTTTACCAGCATTCTTCTTATTTTAAGGCAGGTCTCAGGTCTGTATAAGAGCCTGGAAACTTAATTTGTCTTCCGATTATTTTTGACAGCGATGCAGTTTATTTACATCACAGTAGTCTTCAGCAGAAGTTACACATTCCAAGAACTCGAATACGAAATCTGTGCTTGAACAGAACGAAAAATTACTAAACTGGATTCAGTTTCATCCTTTAAGTGCCGTCACCATTACTTGATTTCGTTAATAAAAACTTCATATCAAACAGTTCGCCAACATTTTGTAGGGATTTTAAATCAGTACTTTTACAGTACAGTGACGATAATGGTACAAGGTGTCTCGTATATAGACAGTGTCAAATTATTACTATTGTTATTTTTATTATAAAGTAAACGGACAATGACACATTGTTCTATTTTCTGTTACAACAGCAAAACTAGTATTCCATCTTTAAGTATGAATTATATACGCCTATATTGACACGTATTTTAGCGAAAATTAATTTAATAGAATAATGTGACGAACGGGTTTTGTGAAACGTGTAATGAATGATATGTAACATTAGACTAATAGAAAATGAATTTCAAACAAGCACTTGTGTGCCTAATAAATACTTGGGCCTCCACAGATTTATGTGAATGAAGATCAAATTCTACGCGACCACATATTTGTACTCCGGATAGTAGGATACTAAGCTTAACTAGCAGAAGGCGAAGCAGCGGCAAGACCAACCATCTGGAACGAATTACTAGAAGGACACGTTTCCAAAAAAGAAACTAATAATAAGCATAATAAAAGTAAAGTGACAAAAAGACAAAAATTCGTTATGTTTGCAGGTAAAGAAACGACAGGCTTCTCTGTCCACGTAATTCTTCAGGATCATTATTTATACTGCAGCCCTATTTTTGTGTTGTTGTTAAAATCATTTCACCCTTGTTATTTATAAACTGTCATAGTTCATTTATGAGTTGTTAACACACTCAACAGAAAGCCTTTTTGTAACTAGTAGGACCATTACAGTGTTTTATATACTGCTCCTTTTATGTACTTAGAAGCTCCTTTTTGTTGTACAACATTAAACAAGAGTGCACGGGCTCCGCGAACAGACGGACGACGCTAGAATCATCTGAGCAGGATTGCAATTTAGCAGTGCAATACTGCGCTGGGTCAAAGGTGAAGTGAGGGCCAAGAATGCGATAACGTGCCGGCTGGTGTGGCCTTTCACGGCCGTCGATGGACGGGTACATGTAGAGCGTTAACTGGCAGAATGTGAAAGAAGAACTCAGATAAAAATCTGTCCCCGTGCCATTACCCACGTAGTGTGTCCTACACCACCAAGTCGTATTGATAATGCAAAAGAAAAATGTTTCTGGAAGTGGGACCCGCGCTGCCCCAAGCGAGTTAATGGTCTGGTTATAATACATATAGATCGATAGGAAAGAACGTAATATTAAAATATAAACATAAATTTAATGTACAAAGTATGCTGGTTCGTAGACACGTCTAAGGTTCATTTGTCATTCCTTTTTGGCATTGCCAAATCACATTTTAATCATTTTTACAGGTTTATAAACTCAAGATATTTGATTTACATCGTTATAGACTCAGACTAAAGTACGTTTGATACCAGTATCTTAATACAGATTCAAAGTATATGTCGATTGAGTACCTCAACTGTTATTTATGTCTAACACAAAATTTTCTTCGAGTATAATGTGTATTGTCTGTCTGAGGGGAGAACTGCCATGTCGTCATGTTGAATGCTGTCCTAAAATCACTGCCTCTTACTAAAATTCCCCCTCTGTTAAAGCAATATGCATGACACTTTGTACTATACATTTTATACCATTAACCCAAATAATTTACCAAACTAAATATAAACTACGGAATACCCAAAATTTAAGAATGACGCAAATCACTAGAAAGCTAGGAAACAAATGAAGATTTCACAGTCAGTCGTGTATTAGGACGGCTGTGCGCTTGCGCAGATGTGTCCGTCTGTTTGAAGGTCCAGTCAATTTTCCGCTCAGATGGTAATATGCCGTAAGTGTTAAGCCTCGGTTTAAACATTCAACTTTCAAATCACGACAGTTGGCAGAGTACCGAAACCGGCTAATCTTACTGACCTGTAGCAGGAGAACATACCTGGAGACATCAATGAACGATAAGCAGAGAAGCTTATTGGTGACACGTAAAAGAGCATTAATACATTGACTTCTGTAATGGTGAAGTGCAGTGTTTCCTTTGAGGTTACCGGCTAATCTTACTGACCTGTAGCAGGAGAACATACCTGGAGACATCAATGAACGATAAGCAGAGAAGCTTATTGGTGACACGTAAAAGAGCATTAATACATTGACTTCTGTAATGGTGAAGTGCAGTGTTTCCTTTGAGGTTCGGACTGAAGTTTCAAATATTATTTAGACGAGCTTCGGGCTAAAGTAAGTTTTATTAAGCACTTCTGAAACGCCACAAGAAGCTTATCTTATAGCAAGTTTCCAACCATTAACTCAGTAGAGTAAATAAAAAACACAGTATGTGCTACTGGGTTGGGTGGATCAGTGTTACCATGTCGCACAAGTCAGCAACATTCGTTGTCCCAAATCTCTTCAAACTAATTAGCTTGACAATTATTCTCTTACCGACGGCATTTTATAACATTTTAACGTCTTTTCCCAATTTATGCTCCGACATCCTTCCATTCGTCTCTCTTTATGATAGATGATTAGGGAGTTAAAGTAACCTTGGGCGGACATACGAAGTAATTAGACATGACATGCCAGTCCTTTCAGTGTACCTGCATAAATGATAGGCTGTCGGATAAGAGTATCACAAGTCGCATGAACTTTAATGATAAAAGACGGCATTCTTCTTACAGCAGGAGGTATTCATTAGGATGGAACACGTCGAAATATCAGCAGAACCCCGCGTATACTTTTCGATAAGTAGTCCTGTACGAGTAAGCTAGATGCGAGACACTGTTTTCGAAACCCAGACCCCACAGGTTTAACCAGGTTGCTTGATACGTGCATCATTTGAAGTCCGTTAACCGAACAATTGAATCTGAGTATCCAAACTGCAAATTTAATGTTGTTAAATCGTAAATATGAATTATACAGACAAACTCACGTCGTCCAGGGTAACAAACATCGGCCCTGTTGTTAGACCTATCCTGGTTTTCTGGTTACAATGAAAAAAACACCAATAACGTTTGCTGGACATTTAGTAGAAGAAGACAAGAAGAAAAAGAAAGAAACGAAGACACCGTTGAATTCTGTCAAAAGCAAGATTCGTTCTTAAGCCGTTTTTCAATTTACGAACGCGGTCGCTAGATGCATTGTAGCCATGGTAACCAACGGAGGCCTCGCGCTCTCTCTTCAAACATCACCACCTCGGCCCGCTTGTTAATCATCTTCATATTCCTTAGCCCAATGCACAGCGGACTTTTATTTCACTGCAGAATTCCGTAATGAAGGCGGTTTGGAAACCTATAACGAAACGTACAGCCTAAGTCTAATCTGAGAATAACTCCTACAGCCACATATTTTGTGCCGTTCTTTCGGTTGGTAGGTCCGTATGAAAATTATTGAACAACGCTGAAGCGACTGTAAATGTCATATAACGCCAACTGCATAGAAATCAGAAATACATGTGAAATGATCATGTTCGATTTTAATTCACTATTCTAGCGTTCGTCTGAACATACTGAGGAACTTATGGAAAATATTTATATTCTAGACCGGAATGTGGCAAACTGGTTTTGTAACACGGGCGTGTTACCGTTTAACAAACGTATTTTCACGGAACTTCATTTTGACGTTTTACACGTACATTTATGTTACACCGCATAGGTTCAAATGCCAGTCGGTTAATGATGCTTGGGTAAATAATCGCTATGTGTTCAAAGAACAAAATTAAACACAAATTAAATATTGTAACAAAATGACGAACTAATGTAAGCCTATTGCCTAATTCTGCATAATTCATCGTGATGAATTTTTATACCTGGTACCTATTACGTATGCATATTACGTATTTCGGTCATCTTTGTATTTCCAAATGCAAATTACTTCAAAGCGACACAAAGACACTTTAATATATCTTATTAAATTGTGTTTCAGGTAAGAAATGGCGAAGCCTGACGCCTCAAGACCGACGCCCGTATGTGGAGGAGGCAGAACGGCTGCGCGTGATTCACATGCAAGAACACCCTAACTACAAGTATCGCCCCCGACGCCGGAAACACAACAAGCGTGGTGGGCCTTCTCCGTCAGGTGTCCCTGCCACAAGCTCTGGTCCAGGCGCGAATGGTAACGGCGGGACTTCCGGTACAGTTGGGGCGAGTGGGAATCGCCGGGCCAATCCCGCCATCAGCCAGCACCAACTTCACCAATCCCACCAACTACACCAACAAAAACTCCAGTCTCAAACCCATCAACTGACTTACCAGTCTTACCAACATCCACACAATATCGGTGGCTATTCCCCTCTTCTCCAACAGCATCAACCCTACCAACAATTGTACTCCAAAAACAACAGCGCTAACGCAATTTATGGATCACCTTACACACCCATTATGCACACACCAGAGGCTTCCCCTACAGGCAGTCCAGAACCAGATTCACTGAGGTTGGGGCTTGGTAATCGAGTGAGTAACGCATCGTCACCATTATTACAACAACCTCATGCATCATCTCATCAGCAAGAAGATCAGCAACAATCAGACACAACAGAATCCCAAGCTCAACAGCTCCCAACAACACCTCAGCCACACACATCTGGTCAGAGTTCCTCAGCTTCCGGTCTGATAGAAGACGTCAATGCCGCGGCTTTACCAACGCCAGAAATGTCTCCAATGGATCAAGATAAGGACAACTTTCAATTCAGCGGAGGCACCAGTTCAAATAACGACGACAAGAGATCAATTGTTTCTGGGGTTTCTGGGAATGTTCTCGTCGTCGGAACATCTTCAAATCCTCTCAACAACAATGTTCCGACCGGAGGAAATGCTCACCATCAACAAACTTCCAACAACGTAAACCTCTCCACTACCACCACGACAACAGCCTCCATAGGGTACCACCACCCCTTATCGCAGAACATATCGTACCACCGGCAGCCATCTTCCTCGTCCGTGTTGTCCAGCAACTACGGAGGAACTTCCAACTTGCTGCACCATCACCACCATCATCATCATCACCATCACCAGACTCAGCAAAACGCCCTAACAGCTACTATGGGTCTCAGTAATGGCATGATGATGATGTGCACGAACCAAAGACTTCTGGAGAGTTATGAACATAGTGGATTAGTGACTGGGACTTTCTATCCTCCTGTGGCGACGTCACAAGACAACCAGCAACTCGGTGTTGGCAGCAACGGGGGTAGCAGCAGCGGTGGGCACCAGATGTACACTACTGCCAACTCAAATGCTACTTCGTCATTAGGATCTTCTTATTTAGGAAGCAGTGGCGGTGGAAGTGGCAACAACGTGTACGGAGGAAATAGTGGCGGCAATGGAAGCGGAAGCAGTGGATCCACAAGTGGACAAGGGCTACCAACGTCGCCAAGTGGAAGTCACTATTCGTGTAACAGTCCAGTGGGCGCTGCACATTCGTTGAGAACAACTGCGGACGGTTACACAGGTAAGTGCATGCAGCAGACAGACTTCATGTCTGCGCTCCATTTGACTGGATACACAGATTTACTCAGGCAGAATCTTGAAGAAATGTGTGAAAATTTGGACAGGATAGGGTCTAGACGTACAGATCTCCGGAGCAGAACACATATTGCAAATGGAGTCATACCACAGCTATTAAGCACACTACGTAAAAATGTCGTATCTTAGCCCACGGTTCATACATTCATCTACGGGAATTTGAAATCAACCTAACCTAACTGCTGAGAGGTCTTGTTTCTTGATCGAAAGTAAGATACTGAAAGTGCGAGTAATGAAGACGTTAGCGACAATATACACTGGGACATATCCGCGAGATATAAAAGTCGCATTAAGTACAGAGAGAAGCCTGAAGGTAAGTTTATATGGGAAGTGGAATGACCTGATCTAGTCGTAGGCCTGAAGTAGATTTGGTCACGACGAAAGAGATTTTAGTGTAGATCCGCCTCGACTCTCACCAGGGGGGAGGTTCTCATCACGAACCAAACAGAATCAAACGTGTGGCCACGCAGTCGATCCAACCAAAATCTCGCCAAATGCTACAGGTAGCAGTCACCGGCTCTGCGTAATGACGAGTGTGCTCAATTCAAAACCATTCTAAATCTCACATAATTAATCGACCACTCAGCTCCATACGCTGGTGTTCCATTTTGTTCTTATATTGCTTGACAATGATTTTCATCTGCGTATGAGTCGAACGACAGGGTAATTATGAAATATGTGATATATGTGGAAGAAAGCGACCGGAACAAATTTTAAGATATCTCGGCATTAGCCTAGACAGACTAAGGAAAATCACGAAATAACTTTGTGTTTAAGGAATTTGAAAAACCAATAACTTCGAGAAACTTCCAATTACATTATCTACACGATTTCAAGAATTATAAATGTTTAAACATTGACGCAGAAAACAGATTTGTAAAGGAAATGACTGTCTTGTGGGATTCTACGCTGTGTAATGTGGTGGAAGTTTACCGACGTTCCAGAGGTGCTTTCTGCCTCCATCATTTCCCTGATGATGGTGGCAGCAAGCACCTCTGAAAAGTCTGTTAACTTCTATCATACGATATGGTGCAGCAACCCAGAAGACAACCATATTCACGAAATAACTTGTTCGGGATAGGTGGCCTTCTGGATGAGAACCTATGAAGCAGTTCTAACAACTACACTAAGATGTTAAGTCTATCAGTTGATTTAGCTGTTTCGTGTATACTTGTCTACAGTTTGTTTCGGTAAGGTGAAAACTAGACTTTAATAAAATTCATTTTTTGCACACGAATCAATGCTAGAATCTTAACTAAGCAACCAACAGGAGTTTAAGAAGCTTAAATGGGGTTCTTAAGGGTATCTATCTCGGACTATAGAAATTTGTATTACAATAATTATATAAATTCATTATATCAGACAAAACATCTCGTTGGGAAAGTTCTAACGTCGCATATCTTTCGTAATATTTCGTCAAATTCTATTAGTGAAATCATAAAAATTCTATGGTATAATGGATATATATATATATATATATACACATATATATACACATATACTTTTTTTCTACAGGACGAATGAAAATTTATTGCCAGTTCTGTGTCACAAGCGTTGTTCTCTACAGACAAGTGTGGAGTCTTCATGAGTATTAAGCTTTAGGTAGATAAAACAATAAATAGGGAGAGACAATGGGGCACTTCTGTTGTCTGGCAGCCACTTACATGGACATTCGAAGGGCCGTCTGTTTCTTCCACGATAATGACACTGTACTGCAAACCTTCAACTTCTTTCTTTGCAGCTAACGAGACCGAAATGGTACAGGTTACTTCGACTTGGAGTCAACTTGGGGGGAGGGGTAGGCTTAAACCTATTTTTCCAAATGCGGTTGCTGCGAATTTAAAGTCATAATTATCCTTAATATTCAGGACTCCTCATCAGAAACATAAACACAGAAACCCAGAGCTGCTAAGCTGACACACAACTGGCATCACTCTGCATGGACCTACAACCAGAAACTTCTCCTGTACTTCGTTAAATGTTCACCATATAGAATGCTCTTTCAAACACAAGCTGAAGGTCTTAATGACAGCTATAATTCATAACATGTACCACATATTTTGTAAGATAACCAGTAAAGTTCGATTTGAAATGAATTTAAAGTACGGTTTAAACCTGATTTAAGTTTCAAAAAATAGCATTCTCCAAACATGTTTAAGTGCGGAATTCCAGTGTCACATTCAATCAAAGTCCATCGAACGAAGAAGGCGAATGGTTAGCACTCTTTATTCGTATTCGGGAGGACCCGGGTTCAAGTTTTGGCAAGGAAGCCAGCTATCCTGACAGTTTCTTCATGATTTTTTTCTTTTATTTGTACCGGGAAAATTCCGGGACAGTACCGCTTTCTTCCATATAATTTTCATTTCATTGTTTGTCGTATCATTCGACAGCATACAGAACAACAAACAACAATATAAATCCCTTTCGTACTTTCGAAGGCGAAACTTGCTCACTAAAGGCCAGACTTCCCCATCATGCTTTCATTTAATTCACATCGTTAAAAGAATAAAAACTAATACCAACTCCTTTAGAAAGTGAAAGTCACAGGAGGGCCTCTCTCCCACTTCGAGGTTTTATTCTCGCGGTCCCTTGTGTCACTTTTGCACTGTGGCATGGTCAGCGTGCACTGGGCAGCCACTGCCATTTGCTTCCCAGTCAGAGACCCACGAATTTGATTTTTGCGTTGCTTCTGCACTAATTATTAGTCTACAGCTGTAATCACGTCTACTTCGCAGTCTTGAGACTGGGACGTACATTTTCACAGAGGACGGAGAGTCTGACAACGACAGTGGTTACGTTAGGATGGTCTCTTCATACATCATTAGTATAATAATGGACACTTTCGACCTTTTTGAAGAAATTTGTTTGCTTGTGTCACTTTCTTCTACAAAGTTCATAAAAATAAAACAAGACAGAGAGAGATAATGCCAATCTCTTCTTTTATACGGCCTTCAGCCATTGTATCCTTCTACCCGTAGGTCTACATTACGTCTATGAAAAGATACTACTGAGCAAATTTCGATTAAATTTTGTGCCAGAGGTCTACATTAAAACTGTAAGGGGAACTTCATTTTGTTCGTGTGAGTGTTGAACTCCAAATCGAGATTTAACGACAAAAAACTGTAAATCATATCACAGAATTTGCATTAACGTAAGATACTGAGTCTTATAACATCTAAAATTTTATATTAAAAACTGCTTTCTGATGACGTGTTTGCCTATTTTTAACAGAATAAAATGAATGAATTTTGCATCCCTCAACAATTTTAGTGAATCACTTGGAAAAGAACACACAACAAAATATTATAGTTAGATAAACACAAATTTGAAAATAACAACTTTGGATACATGTAGCACGCCAGTGTTTCCCGATATTTTTACATTTCCTGCGTGGAGAACATTGGTCTTTAATACAAAAATATTTCTCACTTCTTTGTTGCTTTTTCCGCTGTACGCGGTGTTGTTACTCATTTATTCGATTTGCCGTCACTAACTATTTTACAATATTCTGCGTTTCAGTGTATTACCAGTAAAGTTTGTATCAAACATGATGTTTTTCGGTCTGCTAGTAGTGCAGCACGTGACTTCCCAGGCTGCATTCGTCACAGGGACTTAACTCTCGCGTGCAGTTGTTAGTGATGTTTTAAATATTTGAATAAAACAGCCGAATGTACACATATTAAAGCCAAAGATTTTTGTTGGGTATGTCGGGTAGGGGTTCTGTGAAGGGGGGGGGGGGGTTGGGATTATCAACATCGACACTTCTTTCATTACTCTACACTTGTAACTGCTACCAACATCAGGGCTGTAAGGAGGTTAAAGTTCTTGATCAGTTTATAGTTGATTACTAATGCCGTTATGTCAGAACCCTGAGTCTGCGAATGCACTGGAATGCTGATATATCCTTTCGTGTTTCAGGGTTTTCAAATTCAACACACGTTAATAGGTTTTTACGTGTCTTTTTTGTGATTTATTCATTCTTTTTCGTTTTACACTTGCACCTTTCAGAGCGTGACACACAGCTAGACTGATTACGTTTAATCACTAAGTTGCTTCCCCCCCCCAATCGAAATATCCACACCTGAAAATAACGGGCAAGCAATTTACTTCTTCACTAACATTCGTTAGTTATACCAGGCTTACAGAGGACCTTGGAAGGATGACAGACTTATGATACGATCTAGTCAAGAACTATCAGTTTACGTGCTACGTCGAAGACCTCGCATTTATTGCTTTTTTCTTTGTTCAGTTAAATACGCTGTGTCAACTAACCCAGTTCTGCAGCGTCATATATGAAATTATTATTACTGTAGGCTTGGGGAATCGAAGGAAATTTACGATAAATCGGTCAGGACAACCGTCTCCGGCGATCTCATGCTGAGAATCTCCAGAATACAAGCAAGTGCTAATTACGGCCTACTACATCTCAGCTTCAGACACATGCTTCAATAGCAATTACTAAAATAAATTAATAAACACAAGATATATTGATTTCGTAGCTGAAACAGGCTGCATCCAGCGTTATGTAAATTCAGGACAGATTAAACACAACTGTTCCTTTATCAACCTGTTTCGTGTGCGTCGAGTCTGTGACAAACAGTATTACTAGATCTTTTTATAATTCGTCATAATACGACACACCTCTTGCCCTCATAAAAATATGCCGAATTTGATTTACAGTCTCGTTTACGCGGTATTCTGCTCACTTTCTGACCCTTCTTATTATGGAGGTTCAATCTGTGTTTCGCCAATCGACTAACTCGGTTAAACCTTTACAGTCCAATGGTAATTATATGTACTCCCTACTTCAACAACCAGCAATTCTGCATTCTTCCTGAAAAGAGTATTTATGGGTTTGGTATGATTCTCAGACTAAATAGTGACCATATCGTTAAACAGGGTTAATTATTTGGCATTTGAAATGGAGGTGTGTAGAGTAGTTCTTGCCGGGAGCCGAGAAGTGATAGTTGCGTTAAACTTTATCAGTGGACGCATTGTTCATTAAAGGATAATAACAGTAATTTGTGCTCACGAAAACGTAAGCGTGTCTAGAATATTGAAGTTTACCACGTGATCTGAAAGAGTGGCTACGGACGGACAGCAATATCAGGTCTCACAACCGTGTGATTGCATGCCAGTTAGCCACTATTTACTGCTGTATCACAGATTTTAAAATTAATACTTTTATTCCAAATATAAATAATGATATAATAACTAGAATGGAAAATTAGACTAATCGTCATTTTTCAGCTGCTAGCGTTCGAGTTTCTAGAATCTAGAGCTTCGAAGTAGCCGATACAAATCTCCACAGACAGAGAATTTAAGAGAGATTTCTGAGTCGCACATCTTTTATGAAACAGTCTATGGCCATTTCCTTATATTTCCATTCATTTTACCCTTTTATAATTATCCCATCGTTCCAAATTTGACTCAGTGTGCACGGCAATATCAAATGAACCAAGAATGATTTAATACCAAGACAATGAACACCATGAATCTTTTGACGGAACATTTACAATAACATTTTGTTCTATGATGTTACCCCTCCAGCAGAGTCAAATTAAGTGTACATTCAATAAACGCAGCGATATGATATGCGACACTTTTACATTAACATCTTTCTTCTGTGATGTAACTCCTGCAGTAGAAGTGAAAACTAAGAATTACTATAATATAGTTTTAATGAATGGCCAAAGTTCCCCCTTCTGTCTACACTCTTTTGCAAGTTAACACAATGAAGGCGCATTCAGAAAACATGTTTATCTACTATGAATAATGGTGGAATTTAACCACAGTTATTTTAATCTTTAATTTTCGACAGAATAGACAAGGCTTTATTAGAGTTGCCTAAGGCATGCATTGCTTATGCGTACCGAGACTATAGAATCGCTGCTAATTCTACACTATTATTTGAACGTCTAAAATGAGGACGCTTGCCAATTTGGAGCCTTCGGTGACTTAAGACACAAAACTACAAGTTAAGGTCCTTAGATAATTTTTAATTAACCAGAGAATCAAATAAAAATCTGTCACTCTGAGAAAAAACAGTGTTATTAGAACTCTCGGTCCAAGAGAGGTAAAGTGAGACAAAGCATGTCGTGCCGATCTACAATTTAGCGCAAATGAAACAAAAAAAAAGATGAGTAGAACACACGGTAGAAACCAGAAATGCACATGAAACTTTAGTTAAGATCCTCAAGAAAATACATGCCTTCCGGAGCGTAGACATATGTAGAGGATAATATTACAACGGACCGCACGGAAATTAGGTTGGGAAAATTTGAACTGAGTTGAACCGGCTGAATGTAAGATATAGAGGCGGGTTTCTCTGATGACGATTATCTTCCGGTTTCACAACACGGAATATCTTGATCAGCAGTACAGCTGTCGACCGATAAAGGGAAGTCCTAAACCATGGAGTTTACTTGTTAAGTAAAGAACTTTTACTACGCGTTTGGTTCAGACCGTAGAATGTTCAAGAATTCCCGTTTCCTACACGCGCTAATAAAGTTCAGAATGTATGTACATATTAAAAATACAAAACGAAGGATCCAAAATAAGTCTGAACACTTTATATGCCATATAATTATATGATAACAGTTCTGAACCTATCTTGGAGGGGAGGGGGAGCAGCTGGGAAATATTCTTTCCACCATTTCCAATATAACTATTAACTTGCCTAGCAATTGCTCATCTAATTGTTTCCTTATTCATTATTATTATCGCAGCAGTCGTTCAATGCACATAATCTAACCATCTGATACAACAGCTACATTTTTAGTAATATAGTGTAATATTAATCATTTGTGTACATTTGCAGGTGGAGTTATTATGACAGACGATCAACATGGCCGAAATTATCACCACGTCGTAGTAACGTCACATTCGCCTCATTCCCACCATGTCTCATACGTGAATCAGTCAGAAGAAGAGGAACTCATACTAGATGACGCGACAGATGGAGGAGTTGACACTAACGAATTCGACAAATATCTCAAATATTCCGGAGGGCAACATCCAGCATCCCATGAAGGCAATCCAAATAGTGAAACGGTATCAGCAATGCAGATGGATTCCAATCACAATTACCACCATCATCACCATCAACATTCACTGTCACCAAATAACCAGCATCCAATTCAGCAACACCACACATTCTACAATCATGCCGCAATGGAATCCGTCATCCTGAGCAACGGTGGACACATGCTGAAGACGGAACCACCCGGTCTGCACATGCATCATCAGCAGGGGATTCCCCCCTACGGCGCAGCCGAAGTGCAGCAGGTTCAGCCGTGTGATTATCCCGATCAGCAGCAACAGCAGATTCAGCAAATTAAAACTGAGGACGACTTCAGTGTCATTCTTGCAGATGTTCGCAAAACCTGCTACAGCAGCTGACTTGTTCACGATTGCTTCTCTGTGCTTATTATGTCGTGCCGAATGTTGGGGCAATGAAAAGTTAATTGAATTATAATGGAGGAGACATCAGTTCTTATCCGCCGTCATCTTCTACACACTGGATCACAGCAATGAAGAGCTTTTTAACTCTGAGTTCTGAGTTCACCAGTGACAGCCTTATTTACATTGTGATTACAAGTTTATTAACTATTCCAATGGCATATATAAGTAATGTAAAACCAAAGAAAGCTACAGACATAAGGAAATTTACCTTACCGACTTTTAAAATTAATGGGTATTTTATCGCAAGAGAAATAATTAAATAGTAAACTGTTCCTGAAAATGTAACATAATTAGAGGAAAATTATCAGCAATAAAAAATTCTGGAATATTCTGAAGCACTTCAGATATACACAGTAATAATATAAAGTTGGCCTAGGAGTAATTTAATATTATATGGAGTCTTTATTTCCTGATGCCAGTGTAATCAAGTGGCGAGTACCAAACGTATATAACATAAGAAAAAATACTTCTGTGTTGCCTTACAGGCTTGGAATATTCAAAAACAAAAGACGATTAAAAAAGAAGTGTTAATGCTGATGACAAGAAATACTTTCTTTGGACACACAACTACAGTTTCTATAAATCAACTCAAGAGGTAATATTACCTAGAGTTACCATAATCGGAAGCCGTGTACTTTGTTGCACAGTTCTGCTATGTAGTATTTGTTTCAATAACAAACATGAAAATGGTCTTTTTATATCCGCTTTCATGAATAGGGATATTCTGAAAACATTATTTCAGAACTAACATTGCGATTAGCGATCTATGCATTATCGCATTTTTCATGACAGAAATTATTAAAAAAACACTTCAAGGTTCCTATATTTTTATATTTAGCAATCACTGTTACTTGTATTACAAATAAACTTCAGCTGTTGAGTTTAATTATATAAATTGTGTGTGTTTGGAAGTTGGTAAGTGAGAAAATGACTAATTAGATCACTATTTGTTCGTGTAAACAGGTACAATACGTAAAATTGATAAATCGAAAATATCAGAGCAAAGTACTGTATTCAGACACATGGTAAGCCATTTAACTTATTTACGGAAAGTCATTTGGATAAACATGTGAAAAAAAATAAACTTATGCACTGTAAAATACTTGGAATATGAAGGTTATTTCACTCCGAAAGCGGGAAAGGGAAGTTTAACTTACATTTGTTAAATTGTGCACGAGCCCTTACCTCAAAGCCAAACGTGCATGTCTGTGTGTACATAGTGTGGTCCTGTACAGATCTTAAAACAGGGACGAGCGACCTTCCCTGAAGCATACATTGGTAGCTTTAGCAAACGGATTAGCTTTCATACACAATTAATTATGCTAGTTCATGAATACATAATCAGTCCGCGTGCGAAAGGAAGTCTGCTGGGAAGCTGGAGCGGCAGGAGGGGATTTTTATTGCGCATGCACACTCCGCATATTATTATTCAAAAAAAAAATTGTGCGCTGGTAGCTGTGTATAGGACTATTGTATGCAGAGGTGGACGCATGTTTTGCGAAAGAGTACTTCAAGGCCGTTCATGCCCATTGCACTCTCAGCGGACTTACCTTGGCGCGCGACAGTACTATTATTTTATCACTTATAAGTTTTATTGGAAAATTATTTTATGTAAGCTTAGTTTGAGAAAATCTGTCAAGATTTATGATTTTTGCACTATTGTAATTCCTAATATTATATTATTTTATTGTTTCTTGTATATTTTTCTCCACCTATTGTTAGTTTCTTTTATCAGTACATAATGTGTGTCGGCGTGCGTTTTGTTCATTGAAATAAATTTGCCACTAGCATGTTCATGAACCATAATATCGATACGCTATTATCACAATATTCCGTCCGTGATTTACGATAAATCTATATAAAAAAATGGCAATATTCTGTGGAATTATTTTTTCTGATTTATCGCATTTGTGCTGTGATTATTCGTAGCAATAACATATAGACATTGGAGCTGGAATATCTGTTTCTACTTGGAATTAAGCAAATGCATTAATAATTGAAGGAATGTAAGTATGGAATTTCTTGTACTTTCGTTTACATAAGCAGCCAGGATTACAATTGTTAATGTTTCTGATATAATAACCAATGGCGTGCGGTAGATTCACGTTCTGAACTTGGTGTCTTGCAATATTTTAATCCATGCCATGGCTGGTTTTGTAAATAGCGCGTATCATGAGATTGTATACTGATATTAAACGCTCTACTGTTATGTGCCTTCTGTTACTGATTGAAATAAAATCACTAAGCAGTTTTCTTACAACTACTGGATTGAATTAAATTATACAACTTTTCTTGATGTTGAAATTATTTATCTTTAAACCAGAATTTTATGTCCCGGGTCTTCAACGGACTACGTATATAGTTAAATTACACATGCAGCAACAGAGCGACATGAAACCTAACTTTCCTATCATATTATCTGTCCATTAAAATTTTGCCATTTTTGTAATGTGGTTCCTTCAAGACGTTTTAACGGTAAATAAAGCTCCACCCTTGAAGTACTATGGGCATTTAATTCACATTTAAGATTTCCTACCTCAACAATTTTGTATTCAAATACAAACTGCCTGTAAAATGCACTTCTATACCGTTATCCGATTTGCTAGACATCCTCCACCCAACACTCATTGAGTATTATTCAACCATCTTTAAAACTAAAAAGACGAACGTACGACAATAATGTTTAACATTGATGCATTGCTTGAGATTTGTGTAATAAGCAACAATAAAACTAACCTAATCTGGTGCAGTATACTCTATAATCGACTACAATTTTCACATAAACAATAACAGCATTGTGACTTCTCTTTCAAAATCTTGATTATTAACTGCGACGTTTAAATAACTCTGCGTATTTCAGCTGTGTCAGTGGCTGTCATCTGATAGGATAATATGAATTACCGACCTGGCCTATTTTAAATTATCATCCTAACATTCTGATCGTTATAATGAGTGAAACGAAGAATAAATCCGAACCGGATCCTGATTTCAGCCGGAACTCCATCCAGACAGAATATTTTAATAGATATTTCTTTATAAAATACTTGGGTTTCAAACTACGGGGAAATGTCTCACAAACGTTATTTATATTTTAGAGAAATATGCCTTACCAAAGAAAGTTATCTAAAATATCCCCTCGAATAAATAATTAAATATGTTCATTCCATTCTACCACTAACTGAATGAACATGGCGTGTGAAGATATCAGGGACCCTCTTTCACTGCTCTGAGATCTTAATATCTAACGGCGTTGAAGATATCGATGTTGGTCTTCTAGATAGAATCGCCGTGTAGACTTGTGACTAGATACCAATGTCTCAGAAGAATATACTGACTTTACTGAAGATGAATGCATCATGTTCCTCCCAAGCATTGGTATCTACCTACAACCGCACACGTTGCTACCACCCAGAATACCAACATCGACTCTATTCCAAAAATTCCGCCATTCACTTGCAGTCGCCAGTGACAGGATTAGCGTCAAAGTTTAAGCAGTTACTTAACTCAAAATGTCTTAGCCAGAATAAACGAGGCCAGAATCAACCTGTGTTGGTGTAGGATGTGACTCTGATAAAATGCTATGACAACAAAATCTCAAGCTCATACAAGGTATGAAGATTTCTGTCTTCTGGGTTGTTGCGCTGTGTAGTCTGGTCGATGTTTACCAACGTTTCAGAGGTCATACTGTGATGAATCGCCCTGATGAAGGAGGCAGTATGACCTCTGAAACGTTGGTTAACATCGACCAGACTACACAGCGCAACAACCCAGAAGACAGAAATCTTCATACTCACCGCCGTGAAAACCTAAAATCTTACATACAAAGTACTTTGACATTTTAATTAAAAGGGCCATGAAATTCTGTATTGAGCATATTTAGAGACTTTAAATAAAAGTATAAAATTAATCATTGTGAAGTCGAAGGTTGTGTGTTTCCTGTGGCTGGCTGTGAATTGTTCCCCTCAGTTTGTCATGGGTCATCAGAGTATGAAGATTTCTGTCTTCTGGGTTGTTGCGCTGTGTAGTCTGGTCGATGTTTACCAACGTTTCAGAGGTCATACTGTGATGAATCGCCCTGATGAAGGAGGCAGTATGACCTCTGAAACGTTGGTTAACATCGACCAGACTACACAGCGCAACAACCCAGAAGACAGAAATCTTCATACTCACCGCCGTGAAAACCTAAAATCTTACATACAAAGTACTTTGACATTTTAATTAAAAGGGCCATGAAATTCTGTATTGAGCATATTTAGAGACTTTAAATAAAAGTATAAAATTAATCATTGTGAAGTCGAAGGTTGTGTGTTTCCTGTGGCTGGCTGTGAATTGTTCCCCTCAGTTTGTCATGGCAGTTACTGCAGCCAAGAAACACGTCTGCTGACTGGCAGTGATAAAACGAAACATATCATGTTCTCTCCCATATCCGTGAGACACACAACTCCACTGAACGCTGTTGCACGGGATATTCACTTAAAAATAATACATACTTCTTTATAAAACTATAAATACGTATGTACATGTTAACATGACGTTATATGTACGTGGTTCTTAGTTTTCCTATTAAATTTCACAGTCTAGACTAGAAGCTGAGTCCAATTACTGGTGTAATTTATGGAATATCAACTTTTGAAAGCAGTAACATTTTTATGTATCAAACTAAACAGTGCTAAGGAAATTACGTTTCATGTTGCGTGGTTATTTCCTTCAGATTTCAACTCAATGCTGCTAGAAAGAAACTTATTCATAATTAATTAAATTTATTTAATGAATTCAGTGTTTAAAGGAACAATTATGCATGGATAAATTATAATTTTAAAGCGTATAAGACATTATTATCTACCAAAATCGTTCTTTATTGTACATTTATTTCGTATGCCTACTTCTTACATGAAGGCCTTCGACAATCTGAAGTTTCACATCAAGCGGTACTTGCCAAAAATAACAAAGTTTTCCATTACTGTGTAGCATTCAGCATTAATTATACTAGATCTGTACTCTGTGAGACCATATACACACTTCATGAGTAATGTGTAATGTTTATATATTATGGAGACACAGTGCCTCTTATTACAATAATTGTAATTGTACACTATAATCTATTTTATGTGTATATACATTGCAATTCAGACTGTTTTTTTTAAAATTGTGTACCTGTTATATATCTTATTATATAATAACATGTTGAGATTGAAATCAAATAAACCTTTTTTAAAGATCACTGCCACCTGGTGCGTCGAATTTATGTCACCTTTTATATGTTCTCCTACGGAGTCAAACATGGCTACATCAACTCAGAAGTTACAAATAACACACTTTGTACGGAAGAAAGAAAGAGACTTATGCGTCGCACTAGTCACGTTGTTTCAAGCACAAATTACGGGGAAAAACCACGTAGTTACTTAAGCGTGTCTGAGTAAGCACGGTAGCTAACAGCCTTAAACCACTGATACAATAACACAAAAACAACTGGGACTGCCCTACATTTAGGAGGGGAATTCCTTGAATAGCTAAGGTACAATCAGCTTCGCAAGAAGTCTTCTGCTCCGTGCATGTTTCATCTTTCACTTAACACAGGGCAAACAATACAGTTACGACGGAGTTCCGTTTTGGGTCGTATTCTCAATTACAAGCCTTACCTAACTTACTATAGCTTAAATCGAACGTCACCCAATGTCTTATAACTTCTTGTAAAAAAAAATAATAGTTAACTTATATAAATTATTTATCTCATTAAACCTGTAATTTTTGTTTGAAACATTTCTCGATACTTAACGAAATACAAAGATAAACGATTTACGACTCCAACGCCATAACACTTCTGCTGGTGATAAGCTTTGTTTACAGTAAGGTTTATTACACAGTGTCGTATCTGTGGTGCTTATTAACTCCAACAAGTTATCGCCGTACTTAAGTTCTGGCCTATAAATACGTGTTGGAAAACGGAGGTACAGAATGCTCCACGACTACGACTTCTTAACCTCGGCACTGGATGGACGTGCTAGCCTATTTGCTCTGCAGGCAGGCCTATCCAAATCCGTGGGAGCAAAGAGAGAAAAGCGCGAAAATTAACTTTTTTGTCCGTAATATACTTCTTCGATATTATCAGTCGTCATGATTATATTTAAAACGACGTTTTACAAACAGATTGCAACCTCAGACACATTCTTTTTGATAAAAATCAGGACCCATAATGTTTGTTATTCCAAAGGAAAAGTTGCAAGAAATCTAATTCAAATGTTAAAACTAGTTTTATAAGAAGGAAATTCAAATTGTAGGCCTAGGTCCGTATAAAATTTCGTGTCACGTGTTTTAGATTTAGAGAGATGAGTAATGTGTACAAAAAGGGCGAGAGAATATGGAGTGGATTCTTCTGGCTCAGGATAGGGAACAGTGGTGGGATGTTTTAAAACAGATGAAACTTTCGGTTGAACAAAATTATAGTCTAACTCTGCTCCACATAGGTAGCTAGATACCTACCAACGTAAGTGACTACCTTTGTTCATTACAACTTTACCGAATGCAGTCAGCTATCACACTTGTAATGACAGTGTACGTAACAACACCTAACATTTTTAATCCAGTTTCTGCACAAAATTGCCTATATATAATATTCTATGCCTACTGTTCGTTTTTTAATTTTGGAAATGTGAATCTAAATACAGATATGAGGAGAAACACTGAAAGCAAACAAATCGGAACAGACTCGATATTTTAGTGCGTGTGCATGCCTGTGAAATCGATCTTTATCAGTATCCCAGAAACCAAAAGGGCACGTCGAGCTCTGTGGAGCTGCGGCCGGCCGCTGCATGGCATTACAACCATCGCATGGCACGTCCTTCCATAAATCATGGCATTAGAGCTAATGCGACTGCAAGCCTGGCTTACACCTTCCAACATCCTCTTTTCTCGCCAGGCCCCCATTAAGAAGTTTCCTTTCCTTTTATAGCGATGAATGTTCAAGATTTCATTCTAACTATTTCTCTGCGTTCTACAGACCGCTAAATCGATTTTTCCTTACCCCATGCTAAAACCGGCAGCATCAGTTGTGGTGGAAATGGTAGTAGCGGTGGTGTTGGTGGTAGTAGTAGTAATAGTAGTAGTAGTAGTAGTAAAACTACCCCATCGCCTATCATACCATCATCGTTGAGAGCGTGTCTACTTTAGATTCGCCTACTGTGTGGTTACAAATTAATAAAATAATAATAATAATACCATGATTACAAACACTGAGATAAGCATTATGACTTAGATACATACAGTGAGGGCGAAAATCATAAAATCCTCGGTCAGGAT